AGGCACGGAGGCAAAGAAACATGGTGGAGGGAGCAGGAGAAAGGGGAGAATCCGGGCACACGAGGAAAAAGGGACGAGGGACGGAGAACGGCACTCACGGAGTCGGGAGCCGGAGCCGTGGCGGCCTCCATGATGCGCCCGAGGCTACGCCCAGGGAGAGCCCGCGAACGGCTGTCGCGCGAGGGCTCTCGGGAAGGCCGCTCCGTGACGTCATTGGTGGGCGCGGCCGCGGCTCCGCCTCCGGCTCGCTGCGCAGCCGCGGTGACTCTGGTGCCCCCCCAAGCCGTACTCGCCCGTGACTTCCTGTCTGGCCTTCCCCGGAACGGGCTCTAGCGCAGGTGCTCGAACGCAGCCCGCCTGGTTGGTCGCTCGTAAGCATCTTTCGATCTCCCTGATCTTACCAACCAGAGAGAGCTGCCTCCTCTTTAGTGCAGCCTGAGCACATCATTCATACTTATGTGACGGCCTTGACTCACTGCTGTAATTGTTTCTCCGCTATGCTGTACCTAGAAGCTTTATCCTACTTATTCTGTTTTTCTGTGTATCCTGGGGCCTAGAACAGTGATTGTTGCTAATAAGAGCTGGGGGCGTCTGGCTGGCTCAGTCGGAAAAGCATACGACTCTTTTATGTTTTAGGTTTACTTTTGAGACAGATTGAGAGAGAGAGGAGGGGAGAGAGAGAGAGTGCCAAGCAGGCTCCGAGCTGTCAGCACAGAGCTCAAATTCAAACTGAGATCATGACCTGAGCTGAAACCAAGAGTCAGATGTTTAACCCACGGAGCCATCCAGGCACTCCCTGGGTAGAGATTACTTACATAAAACTTTAAACCATGTCTTTCTTTGAAATATATATGCATATGAACTGGGTAAATATTTGTGGCTCAACTAATGAAAGCGTTTTGCTTTCTACCTCAGTCAACCAACCAAGCATTCCCTGGCTTAGTAGGCAGTGAGTGAACAGAATTCAGGCAACTATGCACCAGGAACTGGGAGGGGAAGACAGGAGATTAGAAAGGTAAAGAGAGGAGGTTGGGGGAATATGCGAGAGAAGTAAAGGGGGTTAAGGGGTACAAACTTCCAGTTATAAGTCACAGGGATGAGTCACAGCATAGAGAATATAGTCAATAGTATGGTAATAGCTTTGTGCTGACTTACCGTGGTGAGCATTTCGTAACGTATATGATTTCTGAATCACTCTGTTGTTTGATTGAAACTAATAATAGTATTGCATGCCAACTATACTCCAACTAAAAATTCAAACTTTAAGAAAAAATAAAGTACAGCGAAAGAGGGGCATTTAAAGTTGTAAACTTGTAGCAGCTTCCAGTTGTATTTGGAACAAGATAGTAGAATATTCTAAGTATGAACATTGTAGGGGCTCCTGGGTGGCTCCGTTAAGCGTCGACTTCTGCTCAGATCATGACCTCGCGGTTTGGAGTTCGAGCCCCGTGTTGGGCTCTGTGCTGACAACTCAAAGCCTGGAGCCTGCTTCAGATTCTGTATCTCCCTCTCTCTCTGCCCCTTCCCCGTTCATGCTCTGCCCCCTCCCACTCAAAAATAAATAAACATACAAAAACACTGTAGACAATAAGAATGCTCTAGTCATCATTTAATAGGAGAACATAGGCTTTAATTCTACAACTTATGGTATCCCCTAATTCAATTGCACATTCGATGTAAGCTCTCTATTCCTGCAGTGCATTGCAGTGACAAATTGTGTAGAAAGTGAATCTTTGCAGTCACTCCCCTGATTACATTAGATATGTTTCTTGCCTTTTCACCGAAACAACAAATTCCCCCCCAAACACCCTTGTTAAAACGCCTGTCAAAGCCTGAAGTCCCAAACCTCATCATTCCTTTTGCTTTCAATGTTTTCTGGACTCTGGAAGACTCCCTGTAGTTACCAAATCCATGAAGATATGCCCTACATCCTGGGATTTACTTTTGATGGTTCACAGGAGGGAGCGTTGAGTATCAGTGACAGTGATCAGAGAAAGTTGTACTTCTCACCCTCACCACCCTCCCTTCACTGGTGTCATTTAAATGTCACGCTAATCTGGCGGCAGCATGCAAAAACCAAATGAGAAGGGCACAAGAGAATAACAGGACACTGAAATAGATCATGCTTGATTTAATAAGCATCTTAAAGGAAAAGGATGGGAGAGGGGAAGATGTTAGGGAAGCATGGAGAAGAGTGGTTGGTCCTTCACACAGGGAAGGAAGTGTGGTGCTGTCCTCTAGACCTGGTGATTTTGAACAGGCTATTCTTGTCCAAGGGGCAGCTGGATATATGGGACCAAAGTCAGGAGAGGGATTAGGGCCTAAAGGATAAGTCTGGAAGTCACTATATGGAGGTGAAAGCTGAAAACTTACGATACACTGGGAATACTAAAATGTTGGGGAGAGGTGCCTGGCTAGATCAGTTGGTAGAGAGGTGACTCTTCATCCCAGGATTGTCAGTTCAAGCTCCACGTTGGGCAAGAAGCCTACTTAAAAAAAAACACACACACACACAAGAAAATGTGAAGTAAATAGGATCAGAGAGAGAGCTGAGCAAACTAAGGCTCCTGGAAGGCTCTGGAAGGTACGTACTGGGTGGAGCCAAGGAGCGCCTAAAGGGAAAGAAACCAAGAGGTGCTCAGATGTCAAAAGATTAATACATGACCTCTGTCAGAAGTGAGCCCTGAGAAAACTCATTTCAATAACCTGGAACTTTACACATCAAACAGGTAGCAACTATTATATCTGGGGCATGGCTGGAATTAGGGTGAATGAACATTTGAAGTATCTCCGTAAGTTTTGCACCCAGGTACTCACTTGCCTTACCGTCCTCTTGGCCCCTGTATAGCAGAGGGGAATAAATAAGGAAACAGATGAGGATCAAGACTTTCACCTTTTACTCGGAGCATTTCTCTGTTAAAGATTCATTAAAAAGACCTCTGGGCCATTGGCCCTGGCACAGCTCTCCAGCTTACTTGCCGTCAGGCTTCAGGCAAGATTTAGCTAATGAGAGGCAGAAACAGTTTGTGTGGGAACTTGGCCCGAGAGAGAGAACCCAGTGTTTATTTCCTTTCTCTTTCAACACTGTAATTGTGCCCTCGGATGCCCTTTCATGGCTGCACCTCTCAGCTCATGGCACTCTTCCCTCCTTTGTCCCTTTAAGCCTACAGGTGGTAAGCGCTTTCTGCCGTTGCCAGGCTCTGGATGCCCCCACCCCCCACTGCACTTTGTTAGTTCCCTTAATCCTGCCCGTATCTCTGTAAGATACACTCTATTGAATTCCTGTTGTTAGCCATTTTCGAGTGTGCCATCCATATTCTGATAGGATCCTCACTGATACAAACCATGTATCTATGTATTACGAGGGTTTAAAAAAATGCACAAAAAAAATGTGTACATAGGTAGAAAGTGCCAAGTGACAAAACCAGGTAACAAGTCGTTGCGAGGAACCTCAGCTCCCACATCTGTACACCAAGGGTTTTTGTGAAGATCAAACGAGATCCTGTCAAGTGCCTTAACGGGCGTTTAGTGAATGTCTTCCTATCGTTGTCATTGTTACTGTCACTGGCGAGAGTGTGGAAATTAAAAATGTAGGCCTCCCACTCTGCTAAGAATTAAATAAATCTATTCATTTATTAAAGAAAAAAGTGAAAAAAAGCCAAAGTAGGAGGGAGAGGGAAACTGAGTCCTGGACAAGGACGATGCTTCTCATTCCGTTTCCTGCATTCAAAGTTCCTGTCTCCGTCACAGTTTATACGGGCACCGGGGAGGGCAGGCCATGGGACCTACCGTATTTCGAAAAAAAACAAAAACAAAAACAAAAACAAAACCCCCAAAACCAAGAACTCAGCCCATTACTGAGCTACACAAGCTGGAGGGGTGCGGGGCGGGGGGGGGG